AACCTCCAAATGTACTATCTGCCTGGTTATCAGGAGAAAGCAGATAAGACAGACAAGGTTAATTATTTTCACGACTAAAGATTTTATACAAAAAGAAAATCTTTTAATATCTCAGGTACGTCTACATATCTTTAACAGATTAAAAAAAAAAAAAGCCATCATATTTATTTAAGCCTAAAAGAGAAACTTCAAAAGGAAGATTATCTTCTATCTCTAGAAATGTTATTTTAGAGGTCAAAATGGAAAAGAAAAACATGTGGGCCCTCTGAACTCCTTGTAAGAAATTCTCAACATTGGCATTGTATCATCTTAGCATTCTGTAATCAGTTTCTGAAGTTTGATGTAACCAGATCTGGTTTCAAATTTCAGTGGAGCTGCAAATTATTTAGCACAAATCAAAAATACCTTGAAAATTCCTAAAATTGCTCAAAAAAATGTCTTATACACATATATTTACACAACCGAGTGGGAAATTTAATAATCAGCTCTCTCAATTAAGTCTTCAATTTTTTTTAATTGATGCTTTTTTTTAAGAAAGAGAAAAACACGGATAGTTTTGTCTCCCACACACCCCAACAGGGATCGAACCCCTGCTACCTTTTGGTGTATGGGATGATGCTCCAACCAACTGAGCACACTGTCAGGGCAGTCTTCAATTTCTTATTCATGGATGTTTACAAAGCCATTACCACCCACTTGCTTGCCACCTGAATAAATCATTTCAGTTGAATTCTTTTTTTCTTTTAAGTTGTTTCTTTTATTTAAAAAGATTTGTCAAACTTTCCACATCCTGGTGATAGTTTACATGATTAATAAGCAGCTTTTTCATGAAATGCTTGGAGGGGAATGAGTTCTCAACCTGTATGATCTGACCATCCCATTGACTGAAGATTCTCTTGAATAAAAAAAAAACAAGGGGGGAGGGGAGGAGGAGGAGCATGCTAGAAACCAAAGGAAACATTCCTCATGACAGCCATCCAAAACTGAAAAAAAACCCACAAAACACCTCAAAAACAAAACCAATTCACGAACTCCACTTTTTCTATTTTACAACTTTCTATACCTCAATCTTTTTAAAAAATATATTTTTATTTATTTCAGAGAGGAAGGGACAGGGAGATAGGAACATCAGTGAGAGAGAATCATTGATCGGCTGCCTCCTGCACACCCCACACTGGGGATCAAGCCACAGCCCTGATATGTGCCCTGACAAGGAATGGAACCGTGACCTCCTGGTTCATAGGTCAATGCTCAACCACTGGGCAATGATGGCCGGGCCTACACCTCACTCTTGATTTTGGCCTTCCTGGCTGAAACAGCTTCCCAGTTCTGCCTCTCCCAAAGACAGTAGGATGTGGTGATCCAACCCCCCTCGCCCCCTAGGCTTGGTGGATTCCAGAGAACTGATGGTGTTGAAAAAGTGTGTTGGAAAAACAAAAAATGGCGGGGGAAAAAAATCCACTGGAAGATGAGAAGGAAAATGGTGAGGAACTGGGTTTAAGTGAGAGCATATATACTTTTGTTAACGTAGCCAGCCCAGGCAAGCAAGGTTACTTGTCTGCTATTCTGGTTGGTCGATTTTCCAGGGAATTCTTCCCCCACTGATCATCTAGGCCCAGAAACCTTCTTGCCAACCTCACATGTCTGTTACTTCCCTTTGCCTATCTTCAGGCTATGTGGGGAAGACCTCTCTCCCCCCAGCTGCCACCCTGAAATAAAATTAACACCAAAGTCTCACTTGGTGAGCATTAGTTTGAAACAGAAAAATAGAGAGCAAATATTATTAGATCTGATCAAATAATTGAATCGATAACCCTTCCCCCGGGAACTGACCTTTAGGCCACTTCACAATGGACATTCCACTTGCTTAGACCACATTCCACTTGTTAAGACCATTCTCTCTCCCCTACGGAGTTTCCCAGAATCCGGACCTGCACAGAGAATTCTCGCTCAGAAAAAGCCCACCTAGATTCCTTTAAAAACCTCTGACTCCCCGTCTTTGGGGGCTGATGCCATTTTAGGGCTCAGCTCATCTGGGTTTCCAGATGACCTAATAAATTCATAATTCTTTACCCCTTTTGGCCTCATGCATTCCTCCTTCGGCAATCCTAACATTTGGTGCCGAAACCTGGGAGGGTTCCACTGGGATAGGAGCCATCCCGGCTTTGATCATCCTGAGTTTGCTACTCGGAGAGCAGTAGGCAGTGGCCGTTGGACCTGACTTACCTCTGAATCCTACTCAGGTGACTCGGTTGCTGGCCTTGATTAGGCCTCCCTCCCTTAAGGACCCTCCCGAACCAGCCAAGGAGGATGCTGGATCGGGAATCTCTCCTCCATTGCTGTCCCTCCATCCCACACCAGCCAATCTTCTCTAAGTGACTGACGTTCCACAATTTCCCTTGTCTCGAGTCTTCTGCCCACTCTCTCTCACTGACTTCTCGAAAGTCTCTTGTCTCAAAAGTCCTAGTGCTAGACCAGAAGACTCCTCAGCCATTTTGCTTTGGGTCCTTCTAGATTGGGGACGCCCAGTCCAGAGGGTCACGTCCAGTCCAGAGGGTCACCTCTCACTGAATTGTTTAGCAGTGGGACACCGGCCCTAAACAGTCAACTGTGGATTTGTGGTCTGTCACTCACCTGTCCTCTCTCATGAGCCATGCTAACACTCCCTTTGCACACTCACGAGCGAGATCATGCCCAACCAACTCATTTTATTTTGTAACACTGTTTGGCCACAATATAAACTAGATAATAAGTCTCAAACGGCACTTTTAATTTTAACACATTGCACAATTTAGATAATTGCTGTCACTGCAATGGAAAATGGTCAGAGATTCCCTATGTCCGGGCCTTTTTCACCCTTTAATCCCAATCCTCTCTCTCAGTCCTGCTCTACCCATCAGGTCTTTCTCCTTCACACAAAAACATCATACCCCTCCCTAACACTTCTAATTCTGAATCTACTTT